CCTTTATCAGTGTAAGGAGGTTTTTGACAGATTCTCTTGGGTTTTCAAGATACACAATCATATCATCTGCAAAGAGAGAAAACTTGACTTCCTCTTTTCCTATTTGGATACCCCTGATTGCCTCCTCTTCTCTGATTGCTCGAGCCAGGACTTCCAATACTATGTTGAACAGGAGGGGTGAGAGTGGGCATCCTTGTCTTGTTCCAGTTTTCAGAGGAAATGGTTCCAATTTTTGTCCATTTAGGAGTATGCTGGCTGTGGGTTTCTCGTAGATGGCTTTTACTATTTTGAGGTATGTTCCCCGTATGCCTAGATGTTCAAAGGTTTTTATCAAGAAGGCGTGCTGGATTTTATCAAAAGCTTTTTCTGCATCTAATGATATAATCATGTGGTTTTTGTTTTGACATCTGTTGATGTATTTAATTACATTTATAGTTTTACGAATGTTGAACCAGCCTTGCCTCCCAGAAATGAAGCCTACTTGGTCATGATGGATGATTTTTGAGATGTATTGCTGAATTCGGTTTGCTGGGATCTTGTTGAGAATTTTAACATCTATGTTCATCAAAGATATTGGCCTGTAGTTCTCTTTCTTTGTTGGATCTTTACCTGGCTTGGGTATCAATGTGATGTTGGCTTTGTAAACTGATTTAGGGAGAGATCCATCTTTTTCAATCGCCTGGAATACCTTCAGTAGGATTGGTATCAGCTCCTCCTTAAATGTCTTGTAGAATTCTGCTGGAAAGCCATCTGGACCAGGGCTTTTTTTGTAGGAAGTTTTCTTATTACGTAGTCAATTTCCTTGATTGTTATTGGTCTATTTAGGGTCTCAATTTCTTCTTGTTCCAACCTAGGTAGTTTGTGTGATATCAGAAAGTCCTCCATTTCCTTAAGGTTTTCAAGTTTGTTTCCATACAAGTGTACGTAGTAGTCTCTAATGATCTTTTGAATTTCTTCAGGGTCAGATGTGACTTCATCTTTTGTGTTTCTGATTGTGCTTATTTGATTTTTTTCTCGTTTTTTCTTGGTCAGTCTAGCTAGGGGACCATCGATCTTGTTTATCCTTTTGAAGAACCAGCTTTTTGTTTCATTGATTTTTTTGTATTATCTTTTTGTCTTCTATGTCCTGGATTTGGGCTTTTATTTTGGTGGTCTGGATTCTTCTGCTGAAATTAGGGTTTTTGTGGTCTTGCTTTTCCAGCTTCTTTAGGTGGCTTGCTAGGCTGTTAATTTGTGTTCCTTCCATTTTCTTCATGTGTGTTTGTAGGGATATAAATTCCCCTCTTACTACAGCTTTCAAGACGTCCCAGAGATTTTGGTAAGATGTTTCTTCATTTTCATTTGTTTCTAGGTATCTTTTGGTCTCTGTTTTGATTTCATCATTGACCCAGGTGTTGTTTAGCATCATGCTGTTTAGTGTCCATGTCTTTGTGAATTTGGGGGGACTTTGTTGGTGTCAATGTTTATTTTTATTCCACTGTGGTCCAAGAAGGTGCATGGTAGAATTTCTGTCCTTTTAAATTTGCTTTTGCTTGATTTATGGACAATTACGTGGTCGATCTTAGAATATGTTCCATGCGGTGATGAGTAGAACGTATATTCTGTGGTCTTTGGATGGAGGGTTCTGTAGGTATCAATTAAGTTCATTTGGTCCAAAGTCACATTGAGGTTCAGGATCTCCTTGCTGATTTTTTGTCCTGATGATCTGTCTAGGGTTGTGAGTGGGGTATTAAAGTTCCCAGTTATGATGGTGTTAGAGTCAATATCTTTCTTTAGTTTTCCTAAAAGTTGCTTTATGAAAGTTGGCGCACCTATGTTGGGTGCATACAGGTTTAGGATAGGTATTTCTTGTTGATGGATTGAGCCTTTTATCATTATGTAGTGGCCTTCTGTACCTTTTTTGATTTTTAGTAGCTTGAAGGTTATTTTGTCTGAAATAAAGATCGCTACTCCTCCTTTCTTTTGTATTCCATTCGCCTGCAAGTTTGTTTCCCATCCTCTTACTTTGAGTCTGTGGGTGTCCTTTCTAGTGAGGTGAGTCTCTTGAAGGCAATAGATTGTTGCCTGATGATATTTTATCCATTTTGCCATTCTGTGTCTTTTCAATGGTGCATTTAGTCCATTCACATTTAGGCTAATTATTGAAATGCAAGAGTTGATCCCTGTCATAAGGTTTTTACACAGTTGTTCCTGTTTGTTTGTTGTCTTTCTTTGGGTTGTGGAGTTGGCTCATGTGTGTTTTTAATCTTTTTGCCTGTACTCTTGTAAAGAATGTTGTTGTTCTTTTTTCTTTTTCTTCTGTGTTCAGTACTTTCTTAAGTGTTTCTTGTAGAGGTGGTCTGGTGGCAGCGTAGGTTCTTCGGGATTGGATATCTGGAAAAGATTTCAATTCTCCCTCACTAATGAAGCTTAGTTTGGCTGGGTAGGTTATTCTTGATTGAAATTGTTTATCTTTTAGAACTTTGAATAAATCTGCTGCTATTCCAATTGGTCTTCCCTGGTAGGTAGTCTGGCCTTTTTCTCTTGCTGCCTTTAGGATTTTTTCTTTTATAGCTACTTTGTTTAGACGAATTATTATGTGTCTGGGAGTTGGTCTTCTCATTTGTTGTCTTGCAGGGGTTCTCTGAATCTCTTGTGTTTGAATTTTTTCATCCTTGATGAGATGAGGGAAGTTTTCTTGAATGATTTCATGAAATGTTTGTTCCAGTGTGACCTCTGTTTCTCTCTCTGCCTCAGGAAGGCCAATTACTCTTAGGTTTGGTCTCTTGAAGTGATCATTCATCTCTTGAAGGTTTTGTTCTGTCTTTTTTAGTTTCTTTTCTATGTTTTTGACAGTTTGGGTTAGTTCTGTGTTTTGGTCTTCGAGCTCTGAGATTCTTTCTTCTGCTTGGCTAATTCTGCTTTCCATGCTTATTAGTCTGTTATTTATTTCCATCACAGTATTCTTTACTGCTGTTATTTCTGACATCAGCTCCTTCCTATTTTCCTCTTGTCTCTCCTCAATTTTTTAAATTCTCTCCATTAATGTCTTGATGTCTGGGTTTGTTGCATGTGACCAGTCATTCTGGGGGCTCTTCATTGTTTGTGTTCCAGAATCTGTTTTCTCAGTGTCTGATATCCCAGGGGTCTGTGTGAGACCTATATTCTTCTTTTGGTTTTTCTTCATTTGTGCGGTTTTTCCCCCCTCCCTACTTTTTCCTTCCCTCCATATCACCATCTTCTTTAATTCTGTTATTCAGGGGTAAAGGAATTGGTTTTACTTCTGTTTGTTCAATCTCCTATTCTTCATGTATGCCCTTTTACTTTGTTCAGTTCTGGAGTTGCACTGTAGGTTGGGGGTGGTCCTTTTTGCAGTTTTGAGATTTACTTAAGTGGGGAGCTGTGATTCAAAATCTATCTGCAGGTCCTGGTATTTGCTGACAGATGTGTGGATAATCTGGAACCCACTTCCCACTGCCTTGGAATCTGTCCGTGCAGTGGGGCTGTAGGTTTACTCCCTGAAATAAAATGAGGTTAGCAGAGGGAAGAGAATGGAGCAGACAGTGGGTTCAAGAGGGGGGTGGGAGATAGAGTAGTAAGGGGGGAAAAAACGTGTGCCAACAAATGGAGAGAGAAATCTATACTGAAACGGATAAAAACAATAGACCACAGCTACTGACGAACCAACTCCCATACAAAAAAAAAATAAAACATATAGTGATACTAACATACAAGCTAACCAGCCACCTTATCAGTGTGCTGTTCCTCTATACAAAGATATGGTTTACAGAAAAGAAAAGAGAAGAAAAGGAAGAGGAGGAAAAAAAGAGAAAAAGAAACAATACAGTAGTAATAGAATTAAGTCATTAAACTAACAGAATCAATGAAGCACACTCTGAGACTTTTCGTTTCAGTCCAATGTCCTTTCAGTTCTGATTTCTTGTTTTCTTTTCAAGCTGGTAAATTAGTTTGCAGTTAGGGTCAGTTGCCCCTGGTCTGCTGTGAAGGACAGTTCAGATCACCCTCTGTTCACCACTCTGGCCTATGTCCTTTTCAAGCTTGTTTCTCCCGTTTCAGTGTTGTTACCTTGAATCGCCAGCAGGTGGTGCTATCTCAGCTGCTCACCCCAGAGGGGGTGGGGCCGGACAGGAACTGGCAGAGACTGGAGATGGATGCCTGCCTCAGGGCACAGGCAGGAGACTCATGGTGGGCAGGACGTCTCGGTCACAGGAGAGGTGGCAGCAATCCCAGCAAATGTTCCCTGAAGGAGCTTCAAGGATTGAAGTGGTGGATCGCCTCCGCCCCGGTGGTGCAATGTGCTACTGGCAGCGGCTACAGTGGCTGCAGGGCGGCATCTGCGCTGCAGTGGCTGTCCAGTCCGCAGCAATGCCCCAGCGGTGGCAACGGCCGAGCTCCGTATGAAGAGCAGGCTGCAATTTTGGGTCCGCAGCCCCCGGGGCGAGAGCCAGAGATCCACTCCTTTGCAGAGGGTTTCACAGACCAGGTTGCCCCGTTGCCATCTTGCTGGAAGTCCCGCCAGCAACTTTTAATGTCATTTTCTGGGGGGAGAGTTGATTTGAGAATTGTCAGATGATTTAAAATAAAAGAAAAGACTAAACTGTTGTTCAGAAGTAGCTAAATATGATTTTCATTTTTCCAGGACAGATGGGAGTTTTGTGGTTCATGATATTCCATCTGGATCTTATGTAGTAGAAGTTATATCTCCAGCTTACAGATTTGATCCTGTTCGAGTTGATATCACTTCAAAAGGAAAAATGAGGTGAGGGCACCTGACTTAATTGTTACCAAAAGTTAGACCATTAAATACCTCATTGTATATTCCTCTTAGAATGTATAGTTAAGGTTGAAAAATATTCTTATTTAAATTACAGATATTCCTTAAAACATTAAAAATATTCTTGTGTTTTAATCTGACTGATAAAATCATAAAGTTGAACTTTATAATTGACTTAAAATTTATTTTAAAGCTTTTAATATGATTATATATGGAAAAGGTAAGATTACTTACTACAGGTGAGGCCAGGCATAGTGGCTCAAGCCTATAATCCCAGCAATTTGGGAGACCGAGGTGAGAGGATTGCCTGAGCCTATGGGTTCAAGACCAGCCTGGCAACTTGGTGAGACCTCATCTCTATAGTATATAAAAGAAATTAGCTGGGCTCGGTGGCTCAGCCTGTAATCCCGCGCCTTTGGGAGGCTGAGGTGAGTGGATTGCCTGAGCCCGCGGGTTCATGACCCGCCTGGGCAGCGAGACCTCATCTCTACAATAAATCAAAAAATCAGCTGGGTGTGATAGCGCATGCCTGTAATTCCGGCTACTTGGAAGGCTGAGGTGGAAGGATCGCCAGAGCCCAGCAGGTCGAGGCTGCGGTGGCCGGGAGCGGCCACTGCACTCCAGTCTGGGCGACAGAGTGAGACTCCAACTCAAAAAAAAAAAAAAAATATTAACCAGGCATGGTGGTGCGTGCTTGTAGTTCTAGCTACTTGGAAGACTGAGGCAAAAGGATCACCTGAGCCCAGCAGTCGAGGCTATGGTGGCCATGAGTGTGTCACTGCATTCCAGCCTGGGTGACAGAGTGAGACTCAAACTCAAAAGTAAAAATAAATAAAATACCTAACTATAGGTGGAAAAGCACTGTAAAAGTTATAATTGAAATATGATTATTGAAATTGGAAATATAAGACTGAGCAACTTGGCAAGACCTCATCTCTATAATAAATCAAAAATAAGCCAGGCACGATAACGCATGCCTGTACTTCCAGTTACTTGAAAGGCTAAGGCGGAAGGATTGCCAGAGCCCCGCAGGTCGATGCTGGGGTGACCAGGAGTGTGCCACTGTACTCCAGCCTGGGTGATGGAGTGAGACACCAATTCAAAAAAAAAAATTTGGAAATATAACTTTTCTAAATTGGAAATACTATTCATCACCTATTATCCTTTTTATTCTGTTTGACTTGAATAATCTTAGCAAGTAGCAAGTATTTTTTTTTTATTTTAATTTTATTTTTTAAAAATAGAGACAGTGTCTCACAGTGTCAGGCTGGTCTCAACCTTCTGACCTCAAGTGATCCTCAGGTTTTGGCCTCTCAAAGTGCTGGGTTTACAGGCATGAACCACTGTGCCTGGCCATAGAAATATTTTTTTAGAGACAAGATCTTACTCTGTTGCCCAGGCTAGAGTGCATTAGTGTAGTCATAGCTCACTGCATCCTTGAGCTCCTAGGCTCAATGATCCTCCCATATCAGCCTTCCGAGTAGCTAGGACTATAGGCATGTACCACCATGCCTGGCAACAGCAAACTGAAATATTATTTTAAATATAGACTGTCCCCAACTTACAGTGGTTCAGCTTAGGATTTTTAAACTTCATGATGGTGCTGAAGCCATGGGCATTCAGTAGAAACTGTGTGTCAAGTACCCATAACAGCCATTTTGTTTCTCACTTTCAGTATAGTATTCAGTAAATTATATAAGATAGTCAACACTTTATTATAAAATAGGTATCTGTAAGATGATTTTGCATCTCTGTTGGCTAATGTAAGTATTCTGAGCACGTTTAAGTTGGGCTAGACTAAGCCATGATATTTGGTGTATTAAATGCATTTTCAACTTAGAATTTTTTTTTTCAACTTATAATGGGTTTATTGGGACGTAAGTCAAGAAACATCTATATAAAGTTTTATTTGCTTTTTTACCTTGGGTAAAGAGTACTTCCTGCTTTAGCATTTAAGAACTGATTTCAGCATTGGGATTCATATTCTCAGATGCATTCCTAGTGATTGGATGTCTAAAGCATGTTGAAAAAAAGGAGTGGGGGCTCTTATCATTTTAATAATTAGGGGTGGGACAGAGTAGAGAACAAAGTGGGATTCATACAAGATCATATTTTGACCAGTATCTTGTAAGCATGCATGGTAAATGAGCTTTGAATATACATAGGATATTTATTCCTAACATTTTTGACAGAATGAAAAACCTTAGACATGTTGGATAAAAACATGACAAACACTTCCTTTTAAATATACAACTCCCTCCAAAGGGAAATCCTTAGGGGATAAACTATGAACCACCACTTCTCCACCTGGGGTTTTGGTGTTCTCTAACCAAAAGTCTTAGATTGTATCAGGAATGTGCAAGTAGGAGACGAGCCTTTGGCTTGCTTGGAGTCAGAATTAGATCTAAGACTTGGTTACCCCTTTGACTCTTGGTACTAAAATGCAAAATGCCAGACACCTGGTCTGACCTTGGCTTTGGGGAAAAAGTCTTTCCTGAAAACTGATAGTTGTGCTCCCACCTTCATTGAAATTTGGGGTATGAATTTATTGCATAATCTAGGAAACTTTCAAGCTGAGTAAGGAACAAAGTGACCCCTGGTTATGATCCCTGAATTCCTGGCAGAAACAAATGTATAATCTCTTTGGAAGGAGATACCCTTGGCTTCTGTTTACTTAAATAGATAAAGTCTACTTCACTTATCAAGTACCTGAGAAAATTGCATTAAGTCAGCAGATGAATTATACCTCCAAGAACTTTAGATAGTAGAACTATTAGATATAGGCTATAAAATAGTTTAAAGTGTATTTAAAGTGCTTAAAGAAATAAAAGACTTACTACTGTAAGAAATGATATATTGGGCAACTCCTTCAAGTCTCTTCCCACTGTGGGAGCTTCTCTGTCCTTTCAATAAATTCTACTTTCTCACTTAAAAAAAAGAAAAGAAAAGAAATGATATATGAAAATAGGCAATAGATACTTGAAAAAGAATAAAATAGAATTTCTACAATGAGTATAGGTATTGAAATATAAACTCAATGACTGCATTAAACAACTGAACAGCAATTTGTTGAACTGGAAGATAGATCAGAAAAAATTGTCCAGAATACAACATAGATAAAGAAATGGACAATGGAAATAGGGGAGACAATTTTCGAAAAGCAAAATGCATTATCTGTGAACCTGGATGGGGGTTTTGATTAAAATGTGTGTACCTCTAGTGAAAATGTAGTGTTATCTATGGTACTGTTGTAGTACTTTCTTGCATAAATTTTTCCTACCATGTAGCCTTGGTTGCATCCAATATGCATATCTCAGACCACCATCAATTAAAATCCAGATTTTTTTCTATGTTTATAATAAAATAAATTTATTACTAATGTAATCAAAGAACTTTAGAGCTGGGAGGATTCTGAAAGAACTTTTGCTATAAACAGAAGTTAAGAAACTTGTTTAACCCCACAGGCTTAGCTAATGACAAAGCTACAGCTAGAAGATTCCAAGTATAACATTTTTTCCTCTGTGTTTTCCTGAATATTTTGGACATGCAGATAGAGCTACTTTGATCAGGGTTTTCCATATCAAAATTTTAGATCCCAAAGCATTTTGGAAAAAGCTGAAGGTATATATAAGGTGTTACTAATATATTATAAACAATTCTTCTAAAGTATTGTTTTTAATGGAATTACTAATGCTTTCCTCATGTTGCTTTGTCAGAGCAAGATATGTGAATTACATCAAAACATCAGAAGTGGTCAGACTGCCCTACCCTCTCCAAATGAAATCTTCAGGTCCACCTTCTTACTTTATTAAAAGGGAATCATGGGGCTGGACAGACTTTTTGATGAACCCAATGGTATGTATCCAGCTAAATGAAGCTAAAATTTTACTAGTATCCAATTTGCTTCTGGCAAAAAACACTTTTTGAAAACTTTAGACCCCTGTGAAATAGAAAACTGAAGTCAGATTGTTGGATGATAAGATAATTGTGAGTAATCTGAGGATTTCAGAAAATAGTGGCTTTGGGTATACATAATGAAAAGAATATAGTGAGAATTGCACTGTAGATTTGATGTTGAAATGCACAACAGAAATTAGATAAGAATTTATGATGTAATGTTTTAAATTTTAAATAGAATAAGAGTACTCAGTAAATTGTACATGGAGCTGTCTCATCCTTCATACTACATGCATATTAGTCCATTGATAGATGTGTTATCATTTGTTACCAGCCCCTTCTGATAGCACAAGTTAAAGTTTATTTCTCTCTTTTTTTAACATCTGTAGTTATTCTGTGGCCATTTAAGTGGTTAGCATTATGAAATCGATGCTATGATACTAGTAACAAAACACTAGTAGAATACATTCTTTAGGAAACAAATTGACTTTTTTCTTTTTGCTGTTTCTGAAAATTGAATTATTGTGTTAGAATTGTCTAAGTTTTGGTCATATTTTGCTGATAGCTATTTAGATCACCAAGAGGACTGGGGGCTGTACATCCTCTAAAGAGGAATAAATTAGTACCTAGAATCTTTTGTGAACAATAAAGAGGCAAGAGGGTAGATTGGATGGGAGAAATCAGCCATGAGTAAACTCCAAAGCTTATTTATCTTCCATGTTCTCATTTCTGAAATTCCATGAAAGTATATCCAGTACTCCGATGCTAGAGGATTTTAGTTCATTTTTCAAAAGTTTTCTACTAAAGTTATTGCTTAGCACTATATTGCAGGCTATAGAGGTTGTACATTAATGAGAAGGAAAATATAGTGTTTTCTTCAAGAACCACAAAGTCATCTGAAAAGAGCAGCCCAGCTGGCCATCAGAGTTACCAATACCAATGCCAGACTACAGATAGAAGAAAGTAACAAATAGTTGCATTTGCAAACTATTTGTGTTAAATAAGACTATAAATTCTGCAAAAAGATAAGTAGATGTCACAAACATGAAGTCAGGTCTCTATAAAGTCCATAAAAACATAGATAAGAAACTTACACTCTACAGTACTTTACCACAGCCAGACAAATAGCTCATAACTGGTTCAGTAGAATTGAGGTGTTTGCTACTAGTTTTATTCTATATACAGCATTTGAATATTTAATTTCATCATTCGTTGTTAAGTACAGTTTTTATTCTACTAAGTATAAAGTGGGGAAAAATATTTTCTGAATTTTTTTCTTCCACAGGTTATGATGATGGTCCTTCCATTATTGATATTTGTGCTTCTACCCAAAGTCGTCAACACAAGTGATCCTGACATGAGACGGGTAAGATGATTGCCCAGCTGTGGACTTTTGAACTGTATTCTGATGCTTGGGCTATTTAAGTGTAGCTGGAAGTCTTGGGTTTTATCAACTTTATTGTAGTTCCCAAGCTAAATTAATCTGGAAGTTGTGTTAACACAGTATCATGTTGCTGGCGTTTAATTAGTTGTTTCCATTGGACCAGATACATTGAATTGGTTCTGCCTGATAAAGATCTCAGTCTCTTCCTATAGCTAAAAGCATTATGCCTAATCCTAGCCTCTTTATGTGCTAAATAGTTGAAATGTTTAATAATCCTGGCATACCTCATCCAAATATTTTCATGATTGTTGCTATAGTCTATCTTTACTTTACAAAACTCTCTTCAGAGTTCACACTCAGTTTATGTGTTCAGACACACAAAATAATTCAGATAGACCAAGGGGATACATAGAATAGTGACTTTCAAACGCTGTACTGCAAAACCATAATGGATCTGCAGTGAAAGAGGAGTTGCTAAGTAGGATACTTCACATTTAGTGCCACCAGTTTTTCTCTTTTAAATATTGGCTTCCATATAAAAAAGCATTTTTAATTTTATTTTTATTTATTTATTTATTTAATCAATATTTTTTATTATGATATTATGGGGTACAGTTAAGGGTTAGGTATACAAATATGCTTCATTCAGGCACCCTTGTTGATAAGAGGTGTCTCCCCGTCCCCAGACAGATATTTACTACCATTAATCCCATCTCCCTTCCCCCCACCCGTAGTTTCCCACCAGTCAGTCATTTTCTTATAGTATTACATTGGATGTTCAAGGTGCACTATATGAGTGAGAACATGTGATACTCAGATCTTTGTTTCTGTGAGTGGTCACTCAGTATTATAGACTCTAGTTCCATCTAGGTTGCTGCGAAATTCATGATTTTGTTCTTTTTTTTTTTTTGAGTTGGAGTCTCACTCTGTCACCCAGACTGGAGTGCAGTAGCTGCTCCCGGCCACCGCAGCCTCGACCTGCTGGGCTCTGGCGATCCTTCCGCCTCAGCCTTCCAAGTAACTGGAACTACAGGCGCGCGCTACAACGCCTGGCTAATTTTTTGATTTATTGTAGAGATGAGGTCTCACCAAGTTGCCCGGGCGGGTCTCAAACATGCAGGCTCCAGCAATCCACTCACCTCAGCCTCCCAAAAGTGTGGGATTACAGGCTGAGCCACTGAGCCTGGCAATTTTGTTCTTTTTTAGGCTGCATAGTATTCCATTGTATATATATACCACATTTTTAAAATCCAGTCCTCTTTTGATGGACAGCATGGTTACTTCCAGGTTCTAGCTATTGTGAACAATGCTGTGATAAATATACGTGTGCAGGTATCTTTTTTACAGAGTGACTTGAATTCTTCAGGGTATATTCCCAGTAGGGGGATTGCGGGGTCATATGGGAGGTCAATATTTAGAGGTTTTAGGAATCGCCATACTGTTTTCCACAGAGGTTGCACTAGTAAGCACTACCACCAGCAGTGTAGAAGTGTTCCCTTTTCGCCACACCCTCTCCAGCAACTGTTATTTTTTGAGTTATTGATAATTGCCATTCTGACTGGAATTAGGTGGTATCTCAGTGTGGCTTTGATTTGCATCTCCCTGATGATTAGTGAGGTTGAACATTTCTTCATGTGTCTGTTGGCTGCTCGGATGTCTTCCTTTGAGAAGTGTCTGTTCATATCTTTTGCCCATTTTATAATGGAGTTGTTTGCTTTTTTCTTTTCAGCACATTTGAGTTCCTTGTAGAT